CTGAGGTTTATTCATTACACTTTTTGGTGTGAAAGGGCTTTTACATTTGCTATAAATATAACTTCTTATATTAAAAACAATCAAGCACTGCTCATATTTAAAAAGTAACGCGAAAGTAACAAAAAAAGTAATGTAACTCATTACTTTCCATAAAAAGTAACTAAGTTCGCGTTTCAGAAAGGCGGGGCATACAGGAGAAACAATAATGTACAGTATGTGGAAAATAATGTGTGTTTTTTTTTTACCTTAAACAGCATAAACATTTCATTACACCAAATACACAAAATAATGTTCTTTTTAGCAACATCATATGACCCCTTTAAACAAATTTTTCGGGTTTGACCAGAAAATAGATATAACAGAGATATAGATAGATATAGGTTTTGACTAAAGATTTTTTTATTTTTCCCCATGATTTAACTTGATAGTTCACAATTAAACTTGATTAATATTAATTGTTCACCACAAGACTAGTAATGAATGCCAGCAAATAAGGCACTTTTTTTTATTTAAAAGGAGAAAACTTTTCTACTTTTCCATCATCGTTAGACCTGAAGAACCAATCACTGACAGAAAAGTGTAATATCAAAACCCCCAATGAAACCGATTATTACATCTCTCAAAACGACAGATGTTTCACATAAAAATGTTTCAAGATAAAATAGTCGATTTGCTGTCCTGCCACGAAAGCAGTTAGTTAACATGACTCGACTTGTCCTAAAATAAGCCTCGGGTCAGGAGTCAGCCATTCATTTAACGCAGTCAACAGCTGCGCAGTGCGCCTTGACAAGTTGTTGAATTTCAAATGCACGGCTGCCATGACAACGCGTTTGTTTGGGATTAGCGCTGGTTCGACCAGATTCTGCAGCTCTGCAAAAGAAACTTTTCCAGTATTTAACGTTACACGCTCAACGTTTTTGGTTTAGAGTTTCATGAGTTTTAGTGTTTTTAAACAATAACGGATAATACAGTACATGTCCGTTTAAACTCGCTGTTTGACTTCATGATTAGCTAAATATAGAGTAAAACAGGCGTAATGTAACGTTACTCTAAAGTAGGCATACACAAAGGTGACTACAGCAGCCAATAAGCGCGTGGATTGTATTTATTTATTTATTTATTTATCTATCACCAAAACAACATTAGGCTGTACTAAAACGTAGTTCAAGGGTTTAAATAAAATAAAACTTGGTTATAAATGCGACCTGCAGATAAAAATGCAGATATCACACGATGACAAAAGGAGAGAATATTTACGATGCTGGATGTTTGGAAAAAATTAAAGTATTCAGTGTAAGTCGAATGACTTCATTTATAGCGCATCGGCCGTCTCGTCATCTACAGGCTCAATAAATAAAAGGCGAAATATATGTGTGGCATTTGAGTAGTTTGATACGCTTACCAATGACAAGGTTCAGCAAAGCGCTCTGCTTGTTTTTGTTGTTGATCCGATGACAGTATTTTGAACACGAAGCTCTACCGTAGTTACTTCCTATTGGCGAAACAGGGTTGTTTTGCTGCCTGCTGCTCCAGTACAGAGGGTGGCAGCATCACATCACAGACACCAATCACATCTTGTAAAATGACATGAAAATATTTATTATGCACGAAATTAGGCATGGCAGTGTTCATTTCGTTTTACTCTTTTACGAGGAAAAACTTTATTAATCTGAATAAATACTGGTCTACATGAATATTACATTCACAAATGTTGGTGGTCAAAAGGGAAGCCTCTTATCAATATACTGAGATGATAGAAAACACTGCCCTGAATATTGTTTCTGTTTGCATATTTGTTTTCAGTGTACAAACAACAAAATAACTCTAAAATGAACTGCTGTCTAAAAAGGTAAAATCAAAGTGTTGCCAAAGTTACAACAGACAGTAGTGATAAGTTAATTGCATTTTAGTTTAAAATGAATTACCTACAAAAAAGAAAATTGCATCGCAACTCTTGACAACTAATAAAATCTACAAAAACTTATTAGCCTATGACAAGTAAAATGGTTTTGTTTGGTATAATATTTTATACTATAATTATGAAAACATAAAACATAGTTTGCTTTTACATTTTAATATAATGTCACAATTATTCTGTAGTGATTAGGGAAAATATGTTGAGAACATTTCGTTTATTACAATTGCTAATTATTTTATTAGCACCAAGCGCTTGTTTTTAATTTAATATCTCTATGCATATGTGTTATTACATTTTTATAGTGGTATCATCTTAAAACCTAAAGCTAGAAGCAGATATGGCCTTAATTTGGAATAATACTATCATAATCTTATTTTTTTCAGTCATATTTTTGAATGACAGTCAGATATAGTAAGAATAGTATTACATTGTGCAATTTCGAATTCAGCTAATGTGTGCTAATATATTTGTAATATGTTTGTAATGACTCTCCTTGATACAACAGACAAATAAAATAGTTCCGTTTTTGTGGGCTCCGGCACATACTGGAGTATCAGGGAATGAAGCAGCAGACAAGTTAGCAAAACAAGTTATGGCAAAGGAAATACACTAAATACAACCATTGGTAGGAAGAGGAAGGAACTCAAGTGGGAGATGGAAAGAAGACTGTATTATTTCTAGATTAAGACTTGGACATACAGGTCTTAATTCAACAATGCATATAATAGGAAAACACCCTACAGGATTGTGTGATTGGTGTGGAATTAAAGAAACAGTGGAACATGTACTCATTAAGTGTAATAGATATTCAGAGGAAAGAAGTAATCTAATAGAAAAATTTAAGAAGAAAGGTGTTCAACAATTAACATTAAAAAGGCTTTTAAATCCAGTAGAAGGGGATAATTTATTAATACAATTTTTAAATAGAACTCATTTAATGAATAGAATATAGATAGGCTATTGTTATTATTGTTGTTATTACTAATAATGATAGTAATGGTAGTGATAGTGATAATAATAGTAGTAGTATTAATAATAATAATAATATTGTTGTTGTTATTTCTCCTCTCTGGACTGTGATGGACTTGGGCTGTAGATGGAGGAGCTGAACACGCAGCAAACATTGAAAGCACGAGTCCTGAATGGTCTGGGGAGTAGGGATATAGTGTCTCTGATCCATTACCACAGTAGATGGCGGTAATGCTCTTTTAGGAATGCGAACCGCCAATAAACTCAAAGAAGAAGAAGAAGAAGAAGAAGAAGAAGAAGGACTCTCCTGTCTGAAAGGTGGCAGTATGGTTGTTGTGTAACTGAGAGTGCAGCTTGTTATCGGTGATGAAGAAGCAGAATAGGAAGAACCCGCGTGGAAAGCAATCCGGTAAAAGTTTATCAAGAATTGAACACTTCGCTTTATAAACATAATTTCAATTTCTTCCCGTCTTAATGCCTTTAATGTGATTCAGAAAACAGTATATGCGGATGACGTGATATTCTAGCGACACACGATCAAGATTGTCAAGAATCAAGTTGGATTTTGTGTTTGTTGTGAAAAGCACGTTGTGCTGTGTTTTCTGTGTCGTCATGATTTTTGCGTTTTAAAGAATGTTGGATGAAATGCAGTCAGATTCGCGTAATAACATAATGGACCGCGTTAATGATAAAAAGGTGAAGAAGAAGAGCAAGAAAAGTGAAACTCCAGGCCAGCATGAACTCACCGAAAGTCCAAAGGTGCATAAGAAGAAAAACAAAAATAAGGAATTGGAGATTGTAAGCCTGCAGACACCTACAGACAAAAAGAAAAAAAGAAAACTGAATGAAGGAGTGGAGGTTGTCACAAGCCTGCATAAAGTAAAAGACAAGAAAACACCCACAGCAGAGTCACAAGAGCCGCAGAAGCCTGCTAAGAAAAAGAAAAACAGAGCAAATGTGACACAAACGGACTGTGATGACAAGGCACAAGAAGAACAGCCTGTCATTATCACAGAACATGAGGAAGAACCTGCCTTACTAATTGGTACTAGAAAGCGCAAAAGAAGGCGAACGCTGTTGGATGAACCAGAAGTTGATCCCAATCTACTGAACGAACTGAAAGAATTTTGTCCTAAAATTGAGTCCAAAAGCTCACATGAAATCAATAAAATAATCATGTATGATCTGCCAAGGTTCAAGGAATTCAGAAAGCAAGGTAGGCTGGTTATATCTAATCTATTACTATTTTACTTAAATAATACTTAAACATGTTAGAAATTATACTTTAATTATTATTAGTCAGATCAGCCTATATCATTTATCTATACATGAAGATTAATGTCATAATAAATGTATAGTGTCCATATAAAAGAAGGCTAATAATGTTTGCCTTCCACTCTTCACACTTGTGTCCACAGGCATCGTGCTGAGGCATGGGAGATTCTCTAATGCAGAAAACGAGAGGTTAAGACAGAATGTTAGAGATTTTATTGCTCTCACAGGAGTGAAAGATGCTACCAAGCTCTTTCATCCAAAACGTTTCCCAGAAGAGAGAGAGGAATTGACAAAGATGAAAAAGGTCTACAAGTTTTTTGAAAGGATAGGTGAGTCTCAACAATCACATTGGATTCACTCGCTTCTCTGTTGATTTTGTTTTTGAAAGCTCTAAGGTCATCATCCTCACCCTCATCCTGCATTATTTAAACTTTTTTTCTGTAGAGAGACAATACGAGACATGCTAGTCTTGCGTCCCAGATATGCCCTTTACACATGTTATTTGCAGGAACACGTTATTTGTTATTTATAGTCTACCCAAATGAAAATTCTCTCATCATTTACTCACCCTTATGTCGTCCCACGTACATAGAATTTTAATTTTTGGGTGGAGTATTTCTTGGAATATAAAGACTTGTTATATTTGAATACATATTGAACATTGTAATAAGCTATACTGAAATATCTGTTGTCATCTTTTTTCAAATCAAATTTGAACAGCGGAAGGAATTCCCAGGCCTTGCCATGATGTTTTTAACCGTGGAAGGAAAGTTTTTGATGGTGGAAACTATAAGGGAAGGTAAATGAAATTACAGCTTTACAAGGTATTTGGTCTTAGAAAATTGATCTGCTCTGCTTTTTATTTTTGTTCTGTAATAAACCTCAGTGGTTCCTTTTCTTAAAAGATATACAGAAGAAGAAGTCAAATCATTGCTTAAGTATCATTCACTGCATGGCAGTAACTGGCAAAAGATTTCTGAGCTGACGGGTCGAAGTTCTTACTCTCTTGAGAAACGTTTTACTCAACTTAATACAGGTAAGTCTAATTCAGCAAGCTGCTTTTCTACATTTCCAACATTGTAAATTTTAGGGTTAGTGATGGTTGGTCATTTTGTATCTCATCAATTTGTATCACACAGCTAGAAAAAGTGGACCGTGGTCAGCGAAGGAGGAGCAGAGACTTTTGAGGGCTGTGCGAGACCATATTGTAACAGTGCTGAAATCTGAGTCCCCTAATAAAAAATCACCAAAAAGAGTCAGTAGAGTAATACTGTACCAAAATTTGCCCTGGTTCAATATTTCTCTGAAAGTTAAAACTCGATGTTGGAGCAAATGCAGAGAGAAATGGTGAGAGAGTCATTGAAAACTCTTATATTAAATGGTGGCACGTTTAAAACATGTTAAGTAATTCTCTATTTATATAATTTACATTGTCCCTGAATTTTCTCCTTCACCCCTAAGGATGTCCATCCTCACTGTGCGGATGTCTTCAGGGACTTGTAGGGGAAGGAAAGCTCAGGAGGCCAAAATCAGACTCATTAAAGTGTAAGATATCTTGTTTTTGCATGCTTACTTTGCTTTTTTTATCCTGACATGTTTTTTTTATCTGGCTTCTATGTCATGTATTCACACAGAATGTATCAATTGCAAGTGGAGGATGTTACGGACGTCAACTGGGATGATCTCACAGCTGTTTTTGGGTGAGGATTATATGCAGTTTGGGGTGGGTGATGTGGCAAATAGTATACATTTCTTTCAAGATCACGATTTATGATCTTATTACTCTTTTGGTTATCGTGGTTCTTTTGATTTTCTTGGTTTTTAAGACTCCATTTTAAAAAATATATGTTTTAAAAAATATTGCCCTACAAGTAGCAAAACATTTTTTAAAAAGACTAAAGGGATACTTCACTCAAAAATGAAAATTATTTTATTTAATCACCCTCAAGTTGGTCCAAATATTTATAGAATTTTCTTTCTTCTGTTGAGCACAAAACAAGATATTTGGAAAAATGTTGGTAGCCAAACAATTGATTGAATTTACAAGTTCTTTTATCTTTGAATGGATTTTCAAAATTATTTCTGTAGTTTGTTGGTAAATAATGTCTTGGCCACATTCAGTTTGTCTTTTTGTATATGTATATAACTATGATATTATATCCATTGAAAGCCCAGATTAATTGAAACCTTGTTGTTGTTGAAGGTATATTTGTTGAACATTGGAATCTTTTCCAATGATATGAGAATTTCATAATCTCTGTAGATTACCATGGTGATATTGCTAGTTTCAGAATAAAAAAAATCCTCTGAGTTAATTAAGTAGTGCAAATGGCATCTGAGCACAATTACACAGGTTACATTATTCAGTTTCCCAGTAAGTAACTAGAATTAATGCACCTGCTTGTTCAGGCATGATGCTGCTGCTGGTGGTATAAACAAGCTTGATGTCACGTCTTTGTCCTTTGTCTCATAGGGATGTTCCTCCAGCATATGCGCAAGCAAAGTGGCACCAGCTTAAAGTTGGCTATGTACCCGATTGGAAGACTAAGTGTTTTGGAGGTTAGTGTGTTAATTTTTTCACATTAGATTGTAGTTGTAGATCCAGCATTGTTTTCTTCTAGAGTGTACTCCAGCGATGGAAACTGAAGATGCAAAAAATGGTTTCTTGAGCCTTGTAATCAATTGACTTTAAGTCTAAAAGTACTTCAGGGACTTGATAATGTCCCTAATGGAAAATAATGGATGTTTGTTGTACATTTAAATAAATACAAAAATTGGATGTAAAAACCTACGTCTAGTAGGGCATGTTAGGACTGGACTATGAGTTACCTACTGAATGTCTTTTAATGCATTGTATGTCTATGATGTTGTTCCTTCCAGACATTGTTGGCTTCCTTTATGAGAGAGTCTTACCGGGCCTGGTGAAAGATTGTGAAGACCTTGATGACAGTGAGCTGAAGGTTGACCAGAAGCAGAGCTTCCTTCTATCTGACATTTTTCGGGACATTAATGAGGATCATTGCAGCGACAGTGATGAGGAGAGTGGCCAGAAAGAGGACGACAAATCCTCTTGAACTATGTACAGATCAGTCACACTAGTGATTGTGAGTAATATTCCACAAGTAAAGAGAAAAAGACATTTTCAAGATGTACATGTAAAAGATGTACGATCATTTCCTTTTTTGTCATTCCATTTATTTTGATGAAGAATTGAATAAACAGAATTTTTATTATTAATTTTTTATTAGGTCTTGTAAACAAGGACATTTTTCTTTTTCCCATATGAAGGTAAAACAAGATTGAGTGAGGTTAACAAGTGTTGGTAAATCAGATGAGAAATGTTAGGTAATGTTAAGTGTTGATAGTCAATTTGAATCATTCGATCAAACAAACATAAACAACTCTGTGTCTTCAGCCCTAAGAGTCATCAGTTTACATTTTCAAACCAGCCATGGCCCGCTCCAGTGGGTTAGAACTCCAGAAGTCATGGTCCCAACCCAGGAACCACCCTGTAAAGGTGGGGGGTTCAAAGCCCTGCTTCACTGTAACAATGGGAGTTCTCTTGTCCCTGCTGGCAGGATCTGATTCAATATATTTGGCAGCTATATTAGGAGAGACAATTATAAAGATAAATTGTTAGCTAATGAAAACGGTAGGAAAATATTGCAGTTGAAAATGGGAAACTTCTTACCTGAAGTCACAGCTTCACGTTTTTCATCTTCATTAGCTTCATTTCCGATCCAAACAAAGACCTTGGAGATAATGGTTTCAAGCATTACAGTGTTAGATTTCATTTTCTTGAGTGCATTTTTTATTGCAAGTGTCGCACACAAACATATTTTACCTGATCCCATGTGTCCAGAATCATGACATCATCTGGAGCCAAGTCCTCTTGGGTCATCTCTCCTGGCACCTCTTCAATCTAGATTGGCACAGAATGAACATAAATTGTGAAAAATGCAAGATTCTTTTCTGATTTCAGTGGACTATAAGTTGAACCATTCAACATGGAAACTCACAAGGAATTGTCCGGTCTTGTTAGAGTATGCAAAAAGCCTAGGAGGATGGGTGTCCATTTTGCTCTTGAGCCTTTCAGAGGTGCGATAGTCTGCTTTTCCTCCAAGAGCACTCCAGAAGCCATCTACATAGAAATTTGAGAAAGAACAAGAGTTGATCAGTATGGGTTCATCTATATTCTGAATGCAACTTTTAAGTAACTACAGTAAAACACTCCTCTACCAATGACAGAAGTACACCCACCTCCCTCTGCTCCTTCTGATATCTCTGAAAGGTCCACTCTTAAAATGCTGCCAAGCTTTTTGGCTCCATTCTTTTCTGCATTACTTGCACCATGACCCAGCCACAGCATAGAGCCTGAAGCAGTCACCAAAACAAAGGCATCATTGGAATTGAGGCTGGAGGCTACAGGATCAACCTGTTTCAGGCAAAGTGAACAACAACTGTCAATAGAGAACCAATTTTGCATACATTTTCAAATGAAGAACATTTAACAAAATGAAACTGCATCATACAATGATACATTCAAAGAACACATCCATTCTTTTGACTCACCTCAACAGCTCGTGTGTGCCCAGCAGGATTGGCACGAACTTGGAAAAGGCGGATTGCAGAAGCCTTAGATTGGCCACCCTCTCGTGAAGTCCCACCCTTGTGCACCACCATTGGCTGGCCGCCAAAGATACTCATGAGATGAGGGGGCTCTTTGCCTTCAATTACTCGCACCTTCATAAACATTCACATTCAAACTGGTGTTACTAATTTGTTTTGATGGTATAGGATGTCCAGTTCTGCTCTTGAAGGGCTACTGTACCGCAGAGGTCCAATCCTGAAGAAACACACCCAAACCTGCTAATCAAGGTCTTCAGGGTTACTAGAAACCTTCAGACAAGTGTGTTAGGCAGGTTGGAGCTTAACTCTGCAGGACATTTGCCCTACAAGAGCAGGAGTGGACACCCCTGGTCTCTATTTCAGTAGACATCCAGTAGGTGAATATTGTAATCGATGCACCAAGCAAATGTCACCTGCACAGGACTCCCACCGAGCTCTGTATCAAGCTGGGCAGCCAGAATGGCAGAAGCCCCTTTCTCATCTTGACTGGACTCTTCCCCCTGCCTGCGGACATAACAAACAACCCCATTTAAAGAGTTTGTTTGCCCATATAATCTTTAGGAAATTATGTTTAAACTTATTTGGCTTGCTGTCCACTGATGAGGGGCTTGATGAAGCAGCTTCAAATTGAGCTCTGATATACCCCCGCAGAGACTTGATATCAGATGATTACAAAGGGCAAAGTACCTAAGCTGAAGGTGGAGATTGGGGAGGTGGAGGGATGCTGGAACAGCTGAGACTGGAGAGAGGCAAGCAGCTGCTTATATAGTCTGGCTGTTGATTGAAAGATTAGATGGGCTCACTCTTCCCTAACTTACGTTTAGGAACTTCATTTAAGAAACCTTTACAGTGATGACTCATCCTATTGACTAACAGAAGCCTAGGGGCTAAGAGATACCTGATTTTATATACTGATTTGCAGAGATACATAACGACCATGTTCTGTTACCTGAGTGTTTTTGTGTAACATGAGCAGACAAACCCCTTGGCTTAGGACCAAATTCTTAGGCATTCAGTGTTTATTTTCCAGGTTCAGCATTCAGAAAGGGCTGAATGGATACCAGAAGTAGGTCTATAGCTCTTACCAAATATATATTATCTGCCCCTGACGTCCCCCATGCTTGTAGCTGTACAGGATGATATAACTGTCTCCTCCAAAGAACTGCCCAAGAATGGATGGGTCAACTGGTACCTTGTCTGATCCCTCAATGCGCCAGATCTTTCCAAAGCAACAAAACAAGACAAATTGTCCATTATTTTGTCTACATAAAAACACTTGATCGTTACAATCTGTTGTACAATACAGAACACATTTACCTTTTTCTCCCCCTTCCCATCATCTACCATTCCATGCTGAGCAGCCATTGCCTCCGATTTGTGCAAAGATGATGCATCAAAGGGCACTTTCTTGATCTTGGCAATTTTGTTAGGCACATAGGCTTGTCCCATACCCTTTGTCTGGTCTGTATCATGCCATAACTTGAAGAACTGTTTGAAGAGAGGAGTCTCTCCATTCTCAGGGATGATCTGGACTTCAGTGTGTTTTGGATAGCCCATCTTACTGATGAAGTCCTCAGCAGCTTTCATGCCTGCACTCCGCTCTTCTTTATTAGCCTCTTTACCTGTTATATTAAAGAAATAAAAGGTCAAGATTTACATTTAGGCATGATCCAAATGCAAATTTTGAATTAATTTGAATGATGTGCCTAGCTGACCTTTCCAGACAAATATCTTGCCATTGGAACCATGGTCCAAGATGAAGCAGTCGGTGGACTGCAGTGCACTCTGGGAAAAGGGGTTTTCTTCAGCCACCAAAGTGACAGACATACTCCCACTGGCATTTGACACCTAGGTAATAATGACCACCAGAATAAACCATTTTTGTAAAGTTTTCAGTATTTCTCACGGAAAACCTAGAGAGTGTAGCTTACTGTACCTTGTACAATTTTGCAGACTTCCTGTTGGATGCATCAGTCTTGGTGTCTTCAGTCTGTGCATCAGGAAGATCAGGCTTTGGTCCAAGAATCTGACAAAATATAGTAAAGCATTTGCATTCAGAAAATAATACTGAATCCTTACTAAAAGCTAAAATACACTACACAATGTTTGGCCTAATTTTTGACGATCTGCAGTCTGGGAGAGTCAACACTACTAGTTGAGGTAGTCAGAGCCAGTTCAGTTCAGTCAAATGTTAAATATGTTTGATATTTTACAAACTTTTACTTCTAGCAATAAGGCAAATGTCTCTATGTGAGTTTATTTTGTCCGGAATGACTTGATGGTCTGGTAGCGTGTGATCTTCAGTTGTATAATATTTGATATCCAGTTCCTCTCTGTAACCATTTACAAAGTCAGCAAGTGTATGATGCTTATTTTTTTTAAATGTTGTGTGGTGTATTCTAACACTAACCTATATCGAAAATTCCAGCACACCTGTTCATCATTTTTAAATAGTCCTGAATACTTTGATAAGCTTGGTCAGGTATGTTTAATTAGGGTTGGAACTAAACTCTGCAGGACATGGCCCTCCAGGAGCTGAGTTGAATAGCCCTGGTCTAGAACATTTTTTCTACATCTTTAAAATTGTTCTAAAGCTTCAGCAAAATCAAACTGCTGGCCTGGTATGAGGTGGGGGATGACGTGGATGAGTCTGGTCATGCCCTCAGGCACAGATCTCCACCCCCAATGGAAAAATGAAAGAGTCACAAAGGGCGGGTCTCTCTTACTTACAGCAGAGGTGCAATGCACAACAATACACTTACTTCAACACTTACCTGTTCTCAACCACTGTATGTCATTCAGGAATAGACAACAGGAAAATTAAAGTTACCCTGTTGACATCATCTGACATAAAATGCAGTTTATTGGTTACTATAGAGATAATGTCATAATTTGCAGTATTTATAGAGAAAAGTATTTTTTAAATACCACTGGTATATAGCAGATCAATTTAGTTTTTCATTTAGAATAAAGCATTAATAAATACAATAAATAATAATAATTTACCTAACCTAAATAAGTGATGCTTGAGAAAAATAATTAATAGCAACATCAGATGGTGACTATGCATCAGGAAACAAAAGAATGTTTTTCTATCCTAAAACACCATCAAACAGAACCTACCTGTTGGTTAAAGCTTTTTTAAAGGTATTATCAGCAGATGAGTCTGGGACGGCAGCTGTAGGTTTGAGCACTGAGCTTCCGCAGGTACTGGGAGTAATCTTCAACAGGTTTGTCTCATTTGCATATGAAACCCCTCCTCTTATTAGTCAGCTCTACGAACATGCATTTTCTTCTGGAAAAAAAATGAAGTCAGTAAAAAAATAACGCAGAGTTTGCGGTTTAATATTATACGTGTAATATTATATAAAAATGCACAGTAAGTGTTTACACTGATTCAGTTGCTGGTGATTCTGCGAGGTTTGATAGCACCAGTCATAATAAAGGAGACACAGTGCAGTGTGCCATTATTTGTCTACAGTATAAAGGTTTTGCTTTAAAGAGCGTGTTCGTTGATATAACAGTAAAGGGGAGACCGGGGCAAAACATTTAATGAAACGGCTAATTGCTCAAGACAATATAATAAACCATTGACTTGGCCAACTAATATTGCAACTAAAATTATAAACATTTATGTTTATTTAAAACGTGTGGCAGCTTGTCTCGATCGGACATTTTTGAAAAATTCACTTTTTGAGAAAAGCTTCTTTCTTCTGAACCAATTTTATTCTGGTTTCGCTGCTGCACAGTGTTACTTTAGAAAGAGCAGTTGATTATTTACCATTTGATCTCATATTTTGTATTTAGTGTGTATGGTGCAGTGTGCTGTGTCTCCAGTAGAGCAGTGTGTTGTGTCTCCAGTGGAGGTCGCTGCTCTCACTGTTTTCATCGCAGCAGCACTTTAGAGGAAGAAAGCGGCCAGACGACTCACACACACCGAGACCAACCCAAACCTCCAAAAACCACTTGAATTTATATTTTAGGTAAAGGATACACACATGACAAGATACATTTCACAATACTGCGTTTCAAAGTTGTTGGATACTAATGACTGACACTGTTTTTAACGCTTCACGGGTCTAATTTTGGGAGTAGCTGTTAGCTTTAGCATGTCTGGGTTTGGCTCAGCGTGAGGTCAGCTAACGCTAACTAGTCCTTTAATGCTGAACATTAACACATTTATCGTCTGAATTGCGACACGGAAACGCAAGTGCCGCTGGTTTGCGCTTTAAAATAATACTTTGGAGTGATTTTTATTAGGTGTGGTCTAGCACATAGCTGCGAAACCTTTGACAGGGGTATGTGATTAGCCGATTAGTCAGTCATGGCGCTAGCTGATTGTAGTGCTGCAGATTGTTTATGCTCGTTTAGCTCAGTGTCACGTTACTCTGTGCCTGTATACATTTCAGTTTACATTACTATCGTGTTTGCTTGTCATTTCTACATTGATATTATCCTGAATTTGTCCTGAACGCTCACCGCCGAGGTTAGGCAAACTTATGGAGGAAAAGGGAAATGTGTCTTTATAGACAATAGTAGGACTAACGTTACCCGGTCAGCTGAGCGCTGCTGGATTGCTGTCAGTGTGGTTTCATTTTGTTGCCGTGAACGCTCTACATTTGATTTGTTTCGGCTGTTTATGGGTTAATGTGTAATTTTAAGCTTTGAATCATTTTTCTTTCTGCTTTCCAGAGCAAAAATGACGACTGCACCATATAACTATTCCTATATTTTCAAATATATCATTATTGGTAAGTGAGCAGTCTGTTTTCCACTACGTGTGAACTGTTTTAGAAAACATAATGTGTTATATAAACGTTTTATAATATTTACTGAGTTTTATTTTTGGGTATTGTGTCTTTGTGACAAATCAGATGTCTCTTTGTGTTGTATTTTGTCATGCTGAATATATAATATGAATATTTGGTGTCTATATAGGTGACATGGGGGTTGGAAAGTCATGTTTACTCCACCAGTTCACAGAAAAGAAATGTAAGTGCTAAGAATGGTATGCATTACACTAAAACAAGGGAACAGTGCTTTTTGAGATACAGGCTAATACCACATGCTAGTTTTATCACAATACTGGAATTAATAATTTTGATACAATACCTTGAAAAACCGTTCCTATACCATTTTTGGTGCCACAGGGAAAAGTTGCCACAACAATAAGGGCATAACATTTGAACAGTATCTAAATTAAATACTTTTGTTCGTAATCATAAAAAAAGAAGTACATTCTTTTTAACTTATTTTCTTATGAACTGTTGTCTGAGATTACAGTGGGGAAAATATTTATTTGATCCCCTGCTGATTTTGTAAGTTTGCCCACTTACAAAGAAACGAAGGGTCTAATTTTTATGGTAGGTTTATTTTAACGGATAGAGACAGAATATCAACCAAAAAATCCAGAAAAAACACATTATATAAAGGTTAGAAATTGATTTGCATTTCAGTGAGTGAAATAAGTATTTGATCCCCTACCAACCAGCAAGAATTCTGGCTCTCATAGATTGGTTACGTGCCCATGTGGAACAAAGATTAGTCCTGTCACTTTAACAAGTTACTCCTAATGTCAGCTCGTTAGGTGTATAAGACACCAGTCCACACAATCTGTATCTTCCATTCCAACCTCTCCCACCACCATGGGCAAGACCTAAGAGCTGTCAAAGGATATCAGAGACAAGATTGTAGATCTGCACAAGGCTGGAATGGGCTACAAGACCATTTGTAGGAGACAACTATTGGTGCGATTATTTGAAAATGGAAGAAATACAAAACAACCATCAATCGGCCTCGGTCTGGAGCTCCGTGCAAGATCTCGCCTCATGGGGTAAGTTCGAGTTGCCAAACGACAGCCAAGAAACCTTAAGGATTTAGAGAGGATCTGTAAAGAGGAGTGGATCAAAATCCCTCCTGAGATGTGTGTAAACCTGGTGACCAACTACAAGACACGTCTTACCTCTGTTCTTGCCAACAAGGGTTTCTGCACCAAGTACTAAGTCATGTTTTGCTTGGGGATCAAATACTTATTTTACTCATTGAAATGCAAATCAATTTCTAACCTTTATATAATGTTTTTCTGGATTTTTTGGTTGGTATTCTGTCTCTATACGTTAAAATAAACCTACCATAAAAATTACAGAACCTTCATTTCTTTGTAAGTGGGCAAACTTACAAAATCAGCAGGGGATCAAATATTTTCGCACTGTATTTATGTCCAATAGCTATTAATACTACTACTAATATATCAATATAGTTTATTAGTATTATTATTTCAAGACAGAAATATATCACTATTGCAATAGACAATAGAACTGCACTGTAAAAAAAAAAAAAAAAAGATTATTTCATAATAATTATTATGATTATTTTACTTTACACTGCAGTAATAAAAATGTAATGCTTTCCATTAATTTTCATTAAAGAATTAAAGCCTCAAGCTTTTATTTTGGTGGGAAACTACAGGGAAACGTTTACAAGAGAAACTGTGACAACAGAAAATTGTCAAATAATTACAAATTGCAAATCTTGTGAAAAGCTGTCATGATCTGGATGGAATGTGAAAAAGCGTAACTGGTGTATGTTGCGTTTTCAAATGCACGTTAAACTCACAGCACATGCAGAGATGAAGTTTGCAGCATTTACTGTGAATCGAGTTGCTCTGAAATTACCAGATCATTAGCTATTGTGGAAAAAGAGCATTGAAACAGTTTCAAGTATATAAGTATCTGTGTATCAAAAAAATCTGTATTTTTTACAACACTACCATATATATGTTTTTTTTTTTTTAGATTGATTATTGATTAAAGACCTTTTGTCATTTTAAATGAAAAGTCTTTTAATTTAGTCTAACATGCATAACTTTGTCTCGTTGTAGTTATGGCTGACTGTCCTCATACAATTGGCGTTGAGTTTGGCACACGGATAATTGAAGTGAGTGGGCAGAAGGTGAAGCTTCAGATTTGGGACACTGCAGGGCAGGAGAGATTCCGCGCCGTCACACGCAGCTACTACAGAGGAGCCGCCGGGGCCCTCATGGTGTATGACATCACCAGGTATACCAATATTCTGTTCAGATCGCGTTGAGTTTAAATGTTTGCTATTACCTTTTGATTTGTGCCTGTTATCATATTACTTTTTAAAAGTCGCAAGGAACATATGCAGTTCATGTTATTTGCAGGCGAAGCACATACAACCACCTCAGCAGCTGGTTGACTGATGCTAGGAATCTCACCAACCCCAATACTGTAAGTTCATTAGCTTCAACAACAGTGCACACTTTGTAAATGATGCCTTTAACATTTCAATTCTAGTAAATGGTGTTGGAGCTTCATACATATTTTAACTGCTCATGTGGTTTGCACAAAGATCAAACTTGAGCCTGTGATCTGAATCTGAATCTTTCCTCAGGTGATCATTCTAATTGGTAACAAAGCAGATCTAGAAGCCCAGCGTGATGTCACATATGAAGAGGCCAAGCAGTTTGCTGAAGAAAATGGTAAGTTGATTGGTTAAAAAGAAACTGCAAGTTGGAATATTCAAGGTCTTTAATTTGGATTGTTAATATTTTATATTAAGTGTTTTTTGTTAAAGTAGTAGTTCACCCGGAAATGAACATTTGCTCAAATTTACTCACCCTCAGGCCATCCAAGATGTAGATGAGTTTGTTTCTTCATTGGAGCAGATCTGGAGAAATGTAGCTTTACATCACTTGCTCACCAATGGATCCTCTGCAGTGAATGGGTGCCGTCAGAATGAGAGTCCAAACAGCCTCAAGTAATCTACACTACTCCAGTGTATCAATTAAAGTCCTGTGATGCAGTAAGCTACGTGTTCGGAAGAAACAAATCCATCATTAAGGCATTTTAACTTTAAAATGTCACTTCTGCCCATAATACTAGTCCATAACCATCCCGTTGTCTTCGCATTAAAAAAATTCAGATTTTTAACTATATTCGCTTGTAAACAGTGATTGATCTATGCCTAGATCTCCCCTGATTCAGACACGAGATGCCTATTACTGGAGAAAGCAATATAATAGAGGACTTGTATTTTAGCAGAAGGCAACGTTTCAAAGTTGCCCTATTACAAACACTCAGCTTATCGCTTCACAATACATTAACTAATGTAATGGAGTCGTGTGGATTACTTGAGGATTATTGTGATGTTTTATCAGCTGTTTGGACTCTCATTCTGATGGCACCCATTCAATTCAAGGGATTCATTGGTGAGCAAGTGATATAATGCTACATTTCTCCAAATCTGTTTCAATGACGAAACAAAGTCATCTATATCTTGAGTAATTTTTGGGTTAACTACTATTAACTGAACCACTTTTAGATCAAAATAAAGTGGTTCACTGTTGAATTGACTGTAAGGCTAATAAGTTGTAGGACACGCCACGCTCGCTTTCACATCTTTAATCTTTTTAAACAGGTTTGTTATTCCTGGAGGCAAGCGCAAAAACGTAAGTGGCCATTAGACCGTCTGCTGGCACAGCATACGCTCTTTGTCTGTAAAATGTACTTTGTATTTCAGTCCTCTTTAGCGTCTCTAAATATGTCCATCCAACAGAGGCGAGAATGTGGAGGATGCATTTCTTGAAGCCGCGAAGAAGATCTACCAAAACATTCAGGACGGCAGCCTGGACCTGAACGCGGCCGAGTCAGGGGTCCAGCATAAGCCTACCGCTCCGCAGGGTGGGCGGCTCAACAGCGACACACAGCCCCAGAAGGAGGGCTGCAGCTGTTAATGACCATGAAGACTTCACTCTCTCTCTTTCTCTATTCCTTCCTGTCCCACATCCCACCTCTAAAAGCCTCTCCCCTTCCGGTATGATTGCTCATGGAGTCTGGGGCCAGATTGCTCTGCGTGATGATGGAGGTGTAACATAATTCCCTCCTTACTGCTCTCTTCTTCCCCTTCTCCTGTGTCTTCCCTCACTTGTTTTGCTTGTTTCTCGTACGCACACATCCCAGTGCTCCCAGCAAGCACTCGAGGGAGGACGGCTCCCCTGCTGAACACTAATCCTGAAGAGAGAAGATGATTGTCGATAAACTGAAGAAATGCTGGGTTTATCCTTAACAGACGTGATTGTGCATAACTATAAACTAAACATCTCATGTACAGGAGCTGTCTGAATACTAGCGTAATGTAAATGAAATGGAAATATTGGCAAACATTATTTGTGTTGACATGATGTCAAGTGATCAGGAGGATATGCATCAACATTGTATGTAACATTTTGTTAAAAAATTATAACTGAATATTGTATTCTGTTTGAAATTAGAGGTTTTGCAGTTTCACATCCAATCACCAAATATTTATCCCCGTTTGTACCTATTCAGGAAATAATATACATGTACTATACAAGATTAGTATTGTTTTGAGAAGAATCTCAATAGAAGGTCCATTGTAAAAACAAACAAACAGTCGATTCAGACAGTTATTTTAACTTAGTAACTGTTATAGTAATGTATTGAAGAGGACAGGACGCATTTTAGGTCCTGAAGAATGTTTTCCGCACTTTGCAGTTTTGATTTGGTTTTCCGAGGGCCTGGAGCTTGTTTTGTGTTACTGAGGTCTACAGTCTGTCATACTACGAGGTTTCAGATCCCCTTCGATCTGTTCTTGAGCATCTGTAAATATTTCAACATCACAGTAGCTCAAGAAAAACAGATTGACAGGAGCATCATGTACCAAACGTTCAGGCCCTGCAATCCCTCATCATATCAAGATATTCATATTGTTTTTACATAATTTCAGTTGCCTTATGATATGCTTTTGTTCATTCTGATATTGCTGCCCGTTTTATTCATGATCCTCGTATAGCTTTTATCTAAAGAATTCCAGCGATTCACTTGTAATAGAGATTTTGCCTTTTCAAAAGCATTCCATTAAATTGATTTCCAAACACTGATCGTGTTTTTGAGCTGAGCTGAGTTTCTTAAGCCTGATGACTGCTTTTTACAGACATCATGGTTTCCTCCAGTTCTAACGGAGTAAATAATATCTTGAAATGTATAAATATGTAACAAACAGGCCACCACAGCATGAGAAACATAATTGAGGGGAAACTCGGCCCAGATCTGATTTGTACAACCAGCAGTTGTTTCTTTTTCCATTGATGCACATTTGCAACGAACAGCTAAAAAGGCAAAAACAAGCACTCCAAATATGATTTTCTATTAAATTTGTCTATTATGGTAGATTTTCGATGTGTTGTTTTGTAAACTGAAAATCCATTTTTAATTTGCTCCTACTGTCTTTCTTTTTTCACATCTTAATGACATCTGCAAAAATTAATCTTCTGCTCAGTTCTGTCTTCTGTAAGTGACTTTTGTTTGTAATTATGTTAATAAAGACAATACTGTAGACTGTTTTTGTCCACATACACTGTATATAAGCAATAATGCTGAGACAACTTGAGAAGAGAAACTGGACAAGAAAATTAAAGAAAGACTACTAATTGTATTGCACACTTAATTTAAGTTGTATTTGATTCTAGACAAACTATATAAAGAAAAGTGCTGTAATAAATACTCTGCATATATTGGCTTTGAATACAAGGTCATTTTTGACAACAGTCATGTAAAAATGAACTCCTTCATTCCAGAGCACAGCCTGCATCAATGACATCACATGATGAAACATGAAACCTTCCTGCCTGCATCTGTTTCACCTGTAAACACTCACAAGACATTGTCTACTTTAACATGAGCAAAAGTTGAGAAGGCACATGTCAGTTTGTATTAAAAAGAATTTCATAAAGCAACAAGAACAAATCGAGGTAGAGAATAAACTTTCACCATCTTATTTTTACCTCAAGTTTCAGTTTGCTTATTTGTATATGGAAAGTGCTGACGCCAGCCTATTTTTTGGCGTTTAGGAGACTGAAACACTTCCAGACTCTGGTCTAACTGAAGCAGGAAGTCCTTGAGACGGTCTCGTGAATTTGGCTCAGTGGTTTCTGCGTGCTTGTTTCTGGTAGAAGCGGGTTTAATCCAGCTGCTCCTCTGTAACCACCTGCTTTCATAATCTGACAAAAATAATGGAAATTAGTTCCTTCTTTATATATGCTGCTTGGTTACGTTTCTGCATATGCAAATATTTGCTCATGTCAATACAAAAGGGACAGTGGAGCATTGTTTCTGATCAATTACATTGGCATGTTTTGGCAGAGCTTCCTGGTCATCCAAATAATAGGAGTCTTTGGAAGAGTTGCTGAGGCGCCGGTCCAGTTCGTCGACATGTCTGCGCAGGCCCTGAATGCTGCCTTCAGTCTGCAGTCTGCGCTGACTCAGAGCTTCCTGTTGAGAGAACATGCGTCTGCGCAGCTGAACCTGGATACCATGGAGAGACACTCAGATTTCAAATCTTCCTAGAAAAAATCTAAATCAATGTCTCAAAGTTTGTTACCTTATCAAATGACCAAGATTTGACTGTACCTTTAAGTGGTCCTCCTGCTGCCTCAGTCTCTCCCTCAGCTTGTCACCTCGCCACTGTTCATCCTGTTTGTAGCAAATGATCAACATTGGCACTATCTCAACTCCTGATGTTCTGTTACACCAAATAATGATCTTTAAAAAAGCATCATATGACCCCTTTAATGATACATGGTTTGCAAATGTGCCAGGTTTGAAAATACACAAGCATAAATAAGATTTGAGAGCTGAAGAGAATGAGGCACGAGTCATATGGGCTACGTTTTGGTGCATTTTTATTCTTTTTAGAGCTCTCTCTGTGTAACACGGATAGAATAATCAGACTTTTCAGTGATGTGAAGCTGAGTAAATGTTGCTTTATAGCAGTGGTTGCCAAAAGGAGTCCAAGGCCACTGCAGTTCATAATTATGTTCAAAATGCTCCTAATTTTGTTTTCAAAACTTACTATAATCTATGGCCAGGCCTTGTTTATGTAAATTGAAAATTAAGTAATTATTTAATCTCAATTATAATCATTAATGATATACTGGATAAGGAATTAGGATAAGGGTTTAAAAACATATTTTGACTCAACTGTTACCTGCTAATATATTTTTAACGCTTGCCTTAACGAGTAAAATGTGTATTCATTATAAGAAAATGCCCATTGCATTTTAAGCTACCTCATAAAGTATATCAAGGTTTTGCAAAACAGTGGAATCGCTCATTCTGCAAAGAAAAAAAAAAATGAAATGAAAGTGATAGTTCATCCAAATATGAAACTTCTGTCATAATTTACTCACCGTCATGTCCTTCCAAACCTGTATGACTTTATTTCTTCTGTGGGAAAAGAAAGAAGATATTTTGAAGTATGTTGGTAACCAAACATTTTCAGTTCCAACTGGCTTGCATTGTATTTTTTGCCCATACAACTAAAGTCAGTGACAACCAAAATGGTTTGGTTACCATCATTCTTCAAAATATTATTTTTTAAATTTTCTGCAGAAGAAAGTCACTGGTTTGAAATGACATGAGGGTGAATAAATTGCGACAGATTTTTCGGGCTCTATTCCTTAAAGGGGTCATATGATGCTTTTTTAAAGATCATTATTTTGTGTATTTGGTGTAACAGAATATGTTGACATGCTTTAATGTTCAAAAAACACATTCTTTTTCAAATACTGTACATTATTGTAGGTCCTCTATGCCCCGCCTCTCTCAAACGCTTCGTTTTCTACAAAGCCCCCTCCTTTGACAAGCGCAGTCCGCTCTGATTGGCCAGCTGACCCAGTGCACTGTGATTGGCCGAACACCGCAAGCAATCGTCGGAAATGTAACGCCCCTTACCATAAACGCGAGCTTCATCTTTCAAAATAAATGTAAAAACAGAGCCCGAAAGGGGAACAGAGTCCCGTGACAGACACAGTGATGAAGCTGGTATGTGTTTGCAGTACACAAGCCACGGTTAAGACAGCTGAAATCTGTCTTTCGCACTGACATGGCTGCATCAACACTACTGCTGTTCCTGAAACCACGCCTTCTTTCTTTGCGTGCACATTTGGGCCGCATTATGCAAATATTTCCACATAGTGAGGTAGATATGTGGGGGCGTGTTAGAACGAGCCGTTTTAGGGGGGCGTGGCAGAGTCTTAACTTTGATAAAGAATATCTCTTTGGTTTTGAGACTTTAGTCTTTGCAACTTCAGGGATCTTATCTATGCACAATCAGCTTGCGCGCTCTCTCTCTCTCTCGCGCTCTCTTTCTCTCTCTCTCTCTCTCTCGCTCGCGCGCGCGCGCGCGCACACGCACACGATGCGCAAAACTCCGCATTTGAACAGTCAATAGCAAATACTTAAACTAATAACAAAACATACTTACAGTAGCTGATTCAGAAGCGCCAGATTGTCATAGCAAAGGCAGAATGACCTCTTCTCCTAGGTTCACGAAACGGTCGTCCATAAAATGCATTGCTGTTCTGTTGTAAGTAATCTTAAAGATTCCTAAATGCATCTACTTTCGGAAGGCTAAATAAAGTGCTTTTGCTTTCGCCTAGAAACACACAGCGTCTCCTTGACATGGCTGCTTCAACACTAACTGCTGTTCCTGAAACCACGCCTTCTTTCTTTGCGTGATCATTTGGGCGCATTATGCAAATATTTCCACATGGTGATGTAGATATGTGGGGGCGTGTTAGAATGAGCCGTTTTAGGGGGGCGTGGCAGAGTCTTAACTTTGATAAAGAATATCTCTTTGGTTTTGAGACTTTAGTCTTTGCAACTTCAGGGATCTTATCTATGCACAATCAGCTTGTAACACTCCAAAGAGAAAGGAAAACTTGAAATCGCATCATATGACCCCTTTAAAAGTGAATTTGAATAAAAAATATTTAGATTTAGTTGTTTAGGTTAGCAGTTTGAACCTATTTCATTGTTTGATTTAATTTATTTGAAATCATTTTCATAATTGTCATCTTGAGGCCCCCTAGTGAGAACCACTGCTTTAGAGTAATCTGTGCATTTATACACCCATACTAGAACACTTGTTTAAGAGGTGCATAGGAAAAGGCTCACCTTAGTGTTGCATGCTGGGATCCCCACACCGGGACGGTTCTCTTTCAGGCTGTCTGTGTCTGAGGAGGCACTAGAGGGCGACTCCAGCTCCCTCAGCCCATTGTCAAGCTCTGCTTTCACCTGGGACCTCAGAGAGTGCATGCTGTCCTTGATCTCACGTAGCTGAGTGCTGCCCTCTTCTTGGCTCTGCAGCTGAGAGAGGCACATGACAGTCATTCTTCTTCCTCGTATTCACTGATAACCACATTATCGCTTCAGACATGGTTCCAGCCCAAACAAGTAGAACAAGCAGAACAAATATGTTTATCTGCAACAAAACTATTACAGCAAACAGATGTGGTGTGTTACAATGCTATTTCCTGTTTGTACTGTCTTTGAGGCAGAGCAGCTCTTGGGAAATGGTTCTGAGCTGTTCCTGCAGTGTTCTGGCTTGTTTATGGTTTTCTTGAGCAGCTTTTTCCACAGTCAGCAGGTCCCTTTAAAGATGTACATGCTCTTGAAACAAGCTCAAGTTAGTCTGACGGCTACAAACTATAGCAAAGCACACAGCCAGAGGCGACCAAAGATTTTGCATAAATAAAGGAAGTTTGAAATAACAAAGTCAGCACAGTATACCCAACCATGAAGGTATCATTCAATTAGATACAATCTAATTCTATTGGATTACTGCTTCATTTCTCCTAGTCTTTCAAATATTTAACAATCACTTGTTTGAATTGGCCAAACAATCCAATACTGATAATATCAAATTTGTTGATATTAGCGTTGTTATTAAGTACAGTTATATAACTAAAATACCTAAAATAAAATAAAGTATAAATATTAGATGAAAAAATTTAAACTTGAAAAAATTAGAAATGTTGAACTGGCAACTAACTGAAATAAAACAAGTTTATGTTTAAGAACTAAAATTAAATGAAAATGAAAAAATTTAATTAAAATGAACAGAGAAAGAATAGAAATAAAGCGAAATAGAAATGAAATATAAAATGAAAATATAATTTAAAATGAAATATAATTAATTAAGTCCTTAGCCATCTTCAAGAATAGGCTAAAAGACATCTCTTCCATCTTTATTTGACCCTCTAACTCTAGCACTCTCTATTTTTATTATATTCTTTATAAAAAAACTAAAACAAACAAACAAAAAAAAACTTTCCCCTTTTAGACTTGCACTCTATTTATTCACTAACTGCTTGTTTTTCTTAAAAAAAAAAAAACGAACACTTGCTTCTCTAATCGTTTTGCATTCTATCTATTTGTTTTCTTTTTATTTATTATACAATTATAATTCTGACCTTCTGACTTCTGCTTAAAAGCAAAAAAGGCCTCTAACACTAGCTTGCTCTATTCTTTTTCTATTCTATCTGTTTTCTTTTTATTTATTATATTATTTAAAAAAAAACTTGCTACATGTACTGCATTAATCTAACTGAGACTTGTTATAGCACTCGCATATCATTGCTCTTTTGTTAGTTTTGACTGCTTTTATTGTCCTCATTTGTGAGTCGCTTTGGATAAAAGCATCTGCTAAATGTCTAAATGTAAATGTAATTATTAAATGTTTTACAATTAAAACTAATGCAAATGAAATGAGCACATAACCAAATTACTAAAATATTTACATTGAAGTACTAAAATTACATTAAAGTGATATTTAATTAAACTGAAATAAAATTAAATAAATAAAAACTAAATAGAAATATACAAAATAATCTTACAAATAAAAACAAAACAAAATGATCACATGAGTTGAAAAGAAAACCTAAAATATAAAAAAAAACGCTAATTAAAAATATTAATAAATACTATAATAGAATATAAGTAATACTAAAGTAACACTGAACTAAACTAAACAGCATGAAAATATATTAAAATATATATTTGCTGAATGTTTTTGTGCATATAATGAAAGAACATGGGGTCTAAAACAACTTTGATTGACTTTTATTGTATGAACCCAAAAAACATGCTACAAAGAACAAAGTTAGGTTTGGAACAACATTTAAATGCCCTTAATGATATAGTGCCTATGCAGCTGCTCCATGGTCCGTTAAACTGGCAGTGTACTACTTATGGATCAGTGTGCCAATCACCTTTTCCACTCCCTGCAGTTTTTGCCTGTTTGAGTGGCTGTGGTTCCTCTGGGCCTCCTGACGTCCCTCAGCGCTGGTGCTGTCAGACAGCAGAGCGTCCTGCAGGCGGTGGGTCTCTTCAACAGCATGCAGGAGTCTGGAGTCCCGCTCACACACCTCCTGCTCTGAACACATACTCGCGCTTCAGTACGACAAAGGCAAGCCGATCTGCATTTATCAGGCTAAGTGTAAGGAAACACATGGTAATGTTGCTCATGCAACTCACCTAGTTTCTCCACCTGCTCTTGTAGTGCAGTGCACTGTTTGCGCTCCCTCTTCAGGTCCATTTCTGCGGCAGCGATCTGCTCCATCCGGTCCAGCCTGAGGCCCAGAGCGCTCTCTACTGCCTGCAGCTTCTGCTGCTCCAGATCAGTGCTCTGCTGCTGCTGCACTCTCATCAGCTACACAAGGAACACAAATACGATGACTTTATTACTCTAGGACCCCCAGAAAATGACTCGAACTCGGGTCGCCCACACCATGTCTCAGACATAATGATTTTCAAAGAGTTCACCCAAAAATGAATCATCATTTACTCAGTTATGTCATTCTAAATCCATAAAGGGGCAGTCACATTTACCATTGCTTGACAATTTTTCATTGGCAAAATATAAAATACTGGGAATTTTTTTGTGTGAGGGTGAAATTTTGCAATGGGTTCAGATGTTCGCGCGAATTTGCAGTGCAGATTAACAGAAGCTGCTTGGTATGAAAGTGACTCCTGTGTGAGCGGTGCTTGATACAACTACACTAATAACAACAGAAAACAGACTTTTTTTTCGCCCACAATATTTTGCAGAAATTTCACTTATGTGACCTGAAGACTTTTGTCCATCTAAGGAACACATAGAAATATTTTGAATGAAACCTTAAAGATTTTTGTCCTTCCTTTCAAAGTCCATTATGCCTTAACTTTGACTCTTTAAAAAGTTCAAGAAAAATGCTTGGAAAAACTCATGCCACAGTTTTCCAGTTCTTCAGAAATGGATCAAATGCATTTGTTACAAAGGGTAAGACAGTTGAACTGCAGCCAAATTCATTTTTTTGCTGTACACCCTCAAAAGACCAACTACTGCCTTGATCAATATAATCAAAGGCCATCATTGTACATTTATAACAGTATGTTTTTATTTTTCTTCATGTGGTTGGTAAAAATTCGCAAATAAGGCCCCTACATTGAGGATTAAAAAAGCTAATGCGAGATAAAAGCCACCGCTTTACTGAGGAACAGCAAACATTTCTTAATAAATGTCTATTTTATATTATATTATGTCACACTTTAGTTTAGGGACCAATTCCATTACTATTAACTACTAATTTTGTCTCCTAATTTGCTGCATATTAATAGTTTGTAAGGTAGCTGTTAAGTTTATTTACAAGATAAGATTAAGGGATGTAGAATATGGTCGTGCAGAATATATGCTTTATAAGTACTAATAAACAGCCAATATGTTAGTAATTTGCATTCTGATAAGCAACTAGTTAATGGTGAGAATTGGTCCGTAAACTAAAGTGTTACCTGTATTTATTATTATTTATTAGCTTTTTTTATTTAGCAAATTTAATTTGATACTGTTTTCTACTGTTAATTGTTAGTGTTATATTTAAATAGACAGATATATTTACTGTTATATTATGTATATTGCTTTTTCTTGTCATTACTTGTTTTATGTATAATGCTTTATCAATAATGTATGTAAACACAATCATTCCAATAAAGTACTTTAAGAATGAAAATGGATGGAAAAGTCCATAATGGACTTCTAATGAAGGGTGAGTAATTGGCTACTTGTGGGTGAACTATCCCTTTAAAGGGGTCATATGATGCGATTTCAATTTTTCCTTTCTCTTTGGAGTGTTACAAGCTCTTGGTGCATAAAGAAGATCTGTAAAGTTGCAAAGACTAAAGTCTCAAATCCAAAGAGATATTCTTTATAAAAGTTAAGAGTCAACCACACCTACCTAAAACGGCTCGTTCTAACATGCCCCCACGTCTACGTCACAATGTGGGAAGATTTGCAAAACGCCGCCCAAATACGCAAAAAAAGAAGGCGTAACTTTAATTCTTGCTGTTGCCGCCGCCGCCATGTCGTGAAGATGCTGTGTGTTTCGTTGTGAAAGCGAAACTACTTTGTTTGGCCTTCCAAAAGAGGACAC